CATCTCCATCAGAGCTCTTGGGTGACCAGGAATATTGTCAATGAGTAGTAGTATTTTGAAAAGAATTTTTTCTAAGAAGTAGGTCTCAACAGGGGCTTATAATAGTCGGTAAACCATGCTGTAAACAGATGTGCTGTCATCCAGGATTTTCTAGATAACATTTGGCTATTTTTATAGTACAGCCAGAGTGGATTTATTATAATTTCTAAGGGTCCTAAGAAATGGTAAAAGAGCATTGGCTTCAACTTAAAGTCACTAGCTGCATTAGCCCCTCACAAGAGAGTCAGCTTGTCCTTTGAAGTTTTGAAGCAAGAAATTGACTTCTCATTTCTAGTTATGAAAGTTCTTGATGCATCTTTCCATGGAAGGCTGTTTCATCTATGGTGAAAATCTGTTTAGTGTAGCCATCTTGATCAGTGATCTTAGTTAGCTGTTTTGACAACTTGCTTCAGTTTCTCCCATGAGCACTTACTGCTTCACCTTGCACTTTTATGTCCTTCCTTAAATCTCATGAACCAGCCTCTGCTAGCTTACAACTTTTCTTCTGTAGTTTCCTTACCTCTTTTAGCTTTCATAGAATTGAAGAGAGTTAGGATCTTGCTCTGGATTAGGTTTTGGCTTATGAAATGTGAGTGGTTTCAAACTTCCTCTGGATCAGCATTAAGACTATTTTGATTTCTTACCATGCATGTGTTGAGTGGTGTAGCATTTCTAATTTCCTTCAAGAACTTTTCCTTTGTGTTCACAACTTGGCTGTTTGGCACAAGAGGCCTGGATTTTGGCCTATTTCTTTTTCTTTTTCTTTTCTTTTCTTTTTTGCAGTTTTTGGCTGGGGCTGAGTTTGAACTCACTACCTCCAGCATATGGGGCCGGCACCCTACTCCTTTGAGCCACAGGCACCACCCAGATTTTGGCCTATTTGAATATGACTTCTTCTACAGGTTTAATCATTTCTAGCTTTTGATTTGAAGTGAGAAATATGTGACTCTTTTCTTTGATCAAACACTTAGAGGCCTTTGTAGAGTTAATTGGACTAATTTAAATACTGCTGGGTCTCAGGGAATAGGAGGTCTAAAAAAAGAAGGATGAGACATGTCAGACAGTGGAGCAGACTCAATCAATTCAGTTCATCCTCCTATGAGTGGTCTGTGGTTCTCCAAAATAATCACAATGGTAGCAACAAAAATCACTGATCACAGATCACCACAACGGATATAATAATAATGAGACACTTTAAAATATTGTGAGAATGATCAAAATGTAAAATAGAAACATGAAGTGAGCACACGCAATTGGAAAAATGGCTCTGATAGACTTACTCAAGACTGGGCTGCCACAAACCTTCATTTGTAGCAAACGCATTATCTGCAAAGTGCAATTATGCAAAGCATAATAAAATGAGTTATGCCTGTATATGCTGTGACAAGCTTCTGTATTTTATCTTAGGAACACTTACCACAACTGTGATCAAACGCTTGTTTAGTCTTTTAATTTTTAGCCTCCATCATCACCCTGAAGGAACTGGGCCTCCTTCCCTCCTTTATCCCCACCAGGCCTCATAGAGTAGGCTCTCCATAAATATTTGTTTAGTGGCACTAAATAAATATCGCAGACATGTTATTTTTATCCTATTTTTTATATTTAGAAAAAAAAATAGTGCTGATACTTAGTTGGAAGACCTATTTT